TTGAGCCCGGAAGAAGCAGGGATTGAACCAGGGCTTGTTGACAGAGCAGATATCAAAAGCCTATGTTATCTCATTTTCAGGGACCGAGCAAGGGATGAGCGCCCTCTGATCTAACGACCAAACAAGCAACTGCCTCAGGTTTTGAATAAATCACTGATGGACGGAAGGGAGCGGGGGCCAGCTCCCTTCCTATGAAAGACCCGAGCTTACTGGGATGATACCCCTTTACATACTAATGGGTGTAAACAAATAGTACGCCCCTCTACTAAAGTGGGTTGGAAAGCCTGTATGCCTAATCTATGCAGGGTAGGTGCGCCGCTACTTATTTCTTTCTCACTCACTACTTTTTTCTATTTTCTTTTGTCTATCGAAACAGCCTAGGATTCAATTTGATTTATCCTAGTGGTGACAGCTTATGCTTGTCCTTGGAACCGGGCGCGGCCCTCTTTCCGCTATTATGAGCGGGTTTTGGGTTAGCCAGAGCGGGCCAATAGGGATAAACAAAGTATGGAAGTAGTTGTGAGGTAATCAGATGGCTCAAGATAAGTTGGAGACGTACTTGAGATAGATAATTTATGTATTTCGCTATTTCGAATACCTAAACTCAAGCGGTGCTAATTTGCTAATCCAAGCCTTATCAATAATACCAACACGCCGTCTGATCCAAGATTAGCAACCTCTCTTTCTCTCATAGAGGGAACCTCACTGACGCATTCAGGGCTCTGCAGTTGAAGCGTTCCTTCGGAATACACCACAAATACACTGGTGGATGTACTGATGGACACGACGAGTACTTCTTCTGGGGGGCCTTCCGTGAATCAGTCGGCGCGTGTTAGCGCATTCGGAACCACACATTTTTATACGATTTTCGGATCATTTGATTTTCGTTTTGAAAACTTTAAAACCTTATCAGAGAGGGGCCACCCCAACATGATCAATAGGCTGATGGCCTTACCAAACCGCTCTGCTCTTGAGCTTTCTTTCCTCCCTTATGGCGGCGCATTGGGGCACTAGAAATCAAAGAAATCTGCTATGTTATGTGTTATGAGTTTGGGACCCAGCTGCTGATGTTAGAGCTCTTTTCGAAAGAGCAGCTTATCCAAGTAGTTAGTTTCCAGAACAGAGCGAGAAAGAAGAGAAAGAGAGGTACGCACTGTGAAAGAAGCCCACGTTCCCACTCTTCTTTCCCCCGTTGATCGGGTTGTTAAAAGGGTTAGTCCTGTTGTTAGGAAGAGTTAGCGGTGTTTACACCGGTGTCATGTGTACGGGGATACGTGTATTAAGAAAAAAGGCCCAGAAGGCATGTTTTCGAAGCTTCCCCCGAAGAATCGTCACCAAAGACATTCTTCCATGGGTTTTTTACATGGGGGGGGGGGCTCGGTTTTGCACGCACCCTCCTTTCGTTATTCCACCTTGAGCCTAGTGTAGTTGGGGAGAGGAGACCCCTGGGGTCAAGGTTGAATCAATAGATCACAGTCTTGGATCAAAGGGATAAGCCAGATGTCAGTGGGAAGGCGGATTTTGCATTTGGAGGCTTTCTTGCATACCTTTTCGAATTCTTTTTGTATAGCTTAGTTACTTCTTCAGCGTAGCAGGCATGCCCACGGGAGGCACCCTCCAAATCACTAAAAGCAGCACTATACCACCACAAGTAGAGGCTTCGCAGTGACAACCTTGATCGAATGTGTAGGATAGGTGGGAGGTGGTGACACACAACGACCAATCCTGAAAGACCACTCTTTCGTCTAAGGATGCCTAACCGCCGCACCCTGGATCCATTCTGACCTAATTGGATGAATGAAGAAGAGGGCGAGCAGATACGACGGATGGTCCAACTACAGAACTTCTTCTTTTTCATTACTTCCATGGTCGTGCCCCGTGGCACGGAACGGCTGTTTGGAGTTGAAGCCGGACTAGAATTGGGAGCAAATTCCGGCAACGAATGGATGTCCTCTTTTCTTCTTGTACGGCCCTGGTCTGCATCGGGAGAATGGGAATAACGATCTTTTATATGATACGGAAAGCGAAGAGAATAGACTGCTACATACTAAGTTGGTTATTCGTAGATTTTTAATCGATTAGTTAACATGGTGGTTAACCGTATTATGAAAGACGGAAAAAAATCATTGGCTTATCAAATTCTCTATCGAGCCATGAAAAATTTTTTCAACAAAAATGTGAATTAGGAAGGATTGGTCGACGAAATATGAATCGAAGACTGAATCTTGATATACCTCATAACAGCACCTTCTTGTTACCGCGAAATGCAATAGGCAATCGGCTAGATGGCACATCCAACCTGTTCACAGTTTTATGCTGCTGGCACTTCAGAAACCAGAGCTGGGATTGGTAGCGGTTCCACTTCTCAAGTTTGCATATTCTGATCACACAATGGAATTCAGGTGGACCAGGGTTTGGGACACTAATCTTTAAATTATAGATGCATTATAACATGTCAAGGGAGGCGCCGAGATATGATATGACCAAAGGCCTTGTTGTTGTTGCGACCACTGAGTATCTAGGGTCATTCCCTTTACCAAACATTGGAGTTGCTGCTCGCTCGAAAGCTTTTGCTTTCTTCGGTACTGGTACTTCGGTCAAAGTACCTAAACCTCACTAAACCTATGCTCTAGCTTCGAAAACAGGCCTTCTGGGTCTTTTTTCTCAATACACGTATCCCCGTACACGTGACACCGGTGTAAACACCGCTAACTCTCCCTAACAACAGGGTATGGGGAGGGGAGAGAAGAGTGGGTATGAGGGCTTCTCTCGCCATCCATAGCCCCCTTTCTTTAAAATGCAAAGTGGACGTTCCCGCACGAACGGCGTGAACTCTGATTCGATCCGGGTATTCAATCCCACCGCTGAGATGCTCAGTTGACTCCATTATCGAATGGGGCAGACACTCCCATGAGCTATTTCAACCACTTACTAACACAGGGACACCACCATTTTAAAGCTGAACTATGATCTTCTTTCGTGCACATCTCGCTTTTTTTTTCATTTATGCGAATGAATTGCAGAACCAAACTAAAATGGGTTGATCGGAGCTATTCTCTAGAATTTCAAACTTGAGATGACTTGCTTGAAGCGGCTGAGGCTCTTCCTAATGGAAGAAAGGACATCCAATGTTAGGATGGATCTAATTCAAGAATTTCTAGCTCTATACGCGAGGAACGGATGCTGTTTTGACTTTTTTCTTCTTGCTTTAATCCAGTCGCTCGATAGGACTTCCCGTAACCCGAAAAGGTTGGTTCTTCCCCTACAACCCCTACCCCTCCAAGGCAGTACTCTTCATCGGCAAATCCGAATGTCTCGATCCGAGTTGAGACCCACCTACAGAAATTGATCCATCAAAGAATTTCCTGCTGCTATCATATAATACTCATCTCTATTTGGTGATAAATAAACCACCTGTCTCTCTTTTTTTTTCTTTGCTTTCTCAGATATTTTAGATTGAAAGCCATAGTACTAATACCTAAAGCAGTGAACCAAATCCCTACTACAGGCCAAGCAGCCAAGAAGAAGTGTAAAGAACGAGAGTTTTTAAAACTAGCATATTGGAAGATTAATCGGCCAAAATAACCACTTTTTCAAAACCTATCATTAAGGGCGTGACGACGATATACGAGAGGAATAAAAAAAAACTCGTGATTGGTGTGGAGGGGAAGATCTGCTTATGAAATTGTTCAAGAAAGAGTCGTCTCATTTCCTTATATTGAATTCCTTCTATGGTTCCACATGAGAAACCAGTACGAATATAACCTACATGTCCAATCGAATTATGAGCTAGAGGTCTTTTGACTTTCGTTAGATTATCTTGAACATAGGTGCGAGTAAGTTGTATTGTTTGGTCTTTATAGCTACAGTTTGATGGTTTGGTCGTTGCTTCCTCGTTTTCTATTTATTCATCTAATTAATCTCCATTATAACCTACGAGACAAAGTGATTAACTATATGATTAACGAGTAATATGCTGCATATGCATTGGAGCATTGTGGTGTTGTACGCATGGAGCCCGGGCAATTGCCCATGGTGGCCAGGCGCTGCATCCGCCACCAACAGTCGACGTCGCGGCTGATGAGCGTGGCGTGGAGCGCAATGCGGCCGGCTCTCCGGCCCATGAGCTTGGTGAGGCCGACGCCGTTCACTGCGCCCTCGGTCTCCACGTGCCCGGTGGCGATGGCATGCTGCGCCGCGTCCACCGCCGTGTGGAACCCGAACGAGCCGCCGCTGCTGGACCTCACGGTGGATTGTCGCCGCGCCGCGCATCATGTCGTCCCCACCGCCGTTGGGGTGGGACGGAGGAGGAGCAGAGGCGGCGCAGGGGGACGAGGATGCAGGAGGTGGGCCAGCGAGGGAGGAGCCTGGAAGGTGAGGTAGCGGTGGCGGTGAGGGCGGGGAGAGGAAGGCAGCGGCTCGAAGGTGGAGTGCGGTGGTGGCGCGCAAGGTCGCCTCCTACTGCCCACCTCGCTCACCTGCGGGAAGAGAAGATGAAGAGAGGCGGGAGGGTAGAAGAGAGAAGTGAGGATGAAGAAGCAGAGAGAGAAGGGAGAGGGAAGAAGGGAGGTGAGGTTGACATGTGGGGTCCATGTGTGCCTCATCATTTTTAATTATTTTTTAACTGACATGTGGGGCTATGATTTTTATTATTTTTCCGGGATCAAATTGTCACGTAAACGCCACGTGGGATGACGACCAACCTACCACGTGGCGCCACGTCAATCAAAATTACCTTCTAACCCGCCGAGGGAACTTGTTTGCACCGGTTTTGACAGTTCAGGGATCGGTTGTATCTTTTTGGGTTAAGGACAAAAATCGGATTCGGTGTAAAGTTAAGGACGTCAAATGAACTTATTCCAATCAATTGGTATGTCTCATATTTTGGCGCAGAAAACCCAAACTTAGGCCCATATTTTGGTACCTCGGGAATGGGCCGGGTACAGTGTGAACACGTTCCAGCCATATATAACCCCTTCGTCTCCAGTCCCCATCCCCCCCTTCCCTTTCCTCCACCCACGCCGCGACGACGAGTCGCCGCCGCGGCCTCGCCGGCGACCAGGTCTCCGGCGGCCCCGCCGCCCGCCGTGACGGGGCTCCGGCCTTCCGCCCTCCTCCCCGCACCGCCCGCTATCTCGGCTCCCCGACTCCTGCATTCCCCCGACTCTCCCCCGGCCGCCGCCGCCGCCATTTCTGACTCTTTCTCCGCGGCGCGTCTCTCCTCCGAGAGCACGCCGACCGCCTCCCGAAGCGGCGTCGCGGCCGCGGCGGCCGCCGCCTTCTCCCGCCCCTGATGGCTGGCGATTCCCGAAATGAGGCGGGTTCTTTCTCCTTTGCCTTTTTTTACTGCTCGGATGAAATTTGAATCTGTGTATGCTTGTGGTTGTGATGAAATTTAGCTTGTTCTGTCCCCGCAGCCGATGTTTTGCGAGGAAGGGAGCAGTGAATCGGGCTATGTTCTATGTGTTATTGATTCGCTGAAGAAGAAAATCACATCGGACCGCTTTGTTTACATCCAGGTGATTTGATTTGATTTGATTGTTTGGAGCTGCAAATCTCGGTCATTTTCTTGTATTTTCTTTATTTACCAGCTGATTAGTTTTGTTCCCCGTGATCTTTTTTTCCAGAAAAGGGTAGAGGAGAATAGCATTAAGCTTAGCCCGATTACACTGCACTCTCACAATTTGTCAAAAAATAGGCAAACTAGTACATCCAACAGTACAGATTTAGTCTCGAATTTGCTCACAAAGAGGAAAGAAGATGCCCTGTGTGCTGTGAATAGTCGTGAGTCATCTCCTGATGAAAGTGAAGGTGCCAATTGCCAAGATGAGTGTTCATCGACTGTTATTGTGGGTGGAAATCTATCCGCGAGGAATTCTGTCCGTCCGATTAGACTACCAGAAGTGGCAACACTCCCTCCATATACAACTTGGATATTTTTGGACAGGTGCATTTTCTTGACATCCCTAAGATCCCTGCTTAAATTACATAGTTATCATGGAAAGTTATAGCGTATACACTTTATTATCCATTAGCAACAACATAGCAATACTATTTCATTTCTCTTGCTAAACAGTAAACACACGCTCATTTGTGGTCTTTAGTTTTTTGTGCAACAATCTATTCAGTCAAACATAGTTTTTCCGACCTAATGCTTTATGTCTCTGGTGATTTTTTTTCTCTTCATGTGTAAATGTGTAATGGAGATATTGCCTTTCGTTCTTACTATAAGCTTGGGAAATGGTATAGTATAAAAATGGAACAAGTCCTTATGCGGCCCCTTGCTACGTGCCCCACCTCTCTCTTAATCACATGCAGTTGCAGACTTGCAGGCTGGGAGTGTGTGTTAAAACAAGAGCAGCAAATGCCACATTGACTGCCTTGAATTCATCTTCTTGGCTTTGGTAGCAAAGCTATTGTGCCAGAACCATTGGCTTTGCCTGCTGCAGTGTTTCTTTTGCTTTTGCTGTTTCATCCGCTTTATGCTTCTTAGTGTTCTCTTTGCTATTGCGTGATTTTGTGGAGCAGCAAGCAAAAAATCAGACTGAAACATGTTTTTGATGAATTGTTTGTTGATATGAATTTAACAGTATATCTCATATGACAAACTTCTATTTTTCTAAATAAGTAATGCAAAACATGCATGGTCACAGTTACAATCCAGCATACTTTTAGTTTGGAGAGGTAGGGCATCTTAAGGTTTGTTGAAATATAAGATTTTACAATCTTTCGTGCAGGAACCAGCGGATGCAAGAAGACCAATCTGTACTTGGTCGTCGAAGGATTTACTATGATACAAACTGTGGCGAAGCTTTAATTTGCAGTGATAGTGAAGATGAAGCTGTTGAGGACGAGGAAGAGAAAAAGGAGTTCAAGGATTCTGAAGATTGCATAATTCGGTAAATATGCTTTGGACATGCATTTGTTTTCTTTTGCCTTGAACATTCACTAAGGATGCTCAACTTGTTTGACCGTTACAGGCTCATGGGACCAAGATACAGGTGCAGTTACCATAGCACCTGGAGCTTGGGCTCAGTCCATAGAATAACAGATCTGATGACTCTGTAGTAATAGTTTCATGGAGAAATGCTTTCTTCTGTAAGCATTTTGTCATATTCTCTGTTTTTCTTTTGACTGGGAAAACTACCAGGACTTTGCCTAGTAGTGTAATTTCATTAAAGAATAAAAAATAGTAATATTCTCTTTTTGAAGTCACAATATAACATAGTACAGAAGCAATAGAGAAATGATATTAAATATACTGGTCAAGTAACATTTGGTATGAAATATTCCCAAGAGATTATTTAGTAAAACTACATTATTAAAAACTTGTAAGAAAAAGGGTTTGGTTTTGGGGCATATGTCTTATATCATTAAATGAAATGGTCATTACCAGTTTTATCTACATTGTTCCAGGGGAAAACCTTGAGCTGGTCACACTGCATATTTGACCTGGTTTTGTTTTGTGCAACCCTTGCACAAGCAAGAAAAGTATGGTTACAGCATTAATCTGAGTTGTTTGTGGATTAATTTAGACCTTAAACATCATAGATCACAATAATTTGGTTTCTCCTGTATGGAATTCTTCCACTTAAGGGTGATTTTGTGCAATGATTGCCAGGATGACCATTCAAGAATGTGGCATGTCTGATGCTGTGCTTGAAACTCTAGCTCGAGATATCGAAAGGGCTCCTGATGATATAAAGGTTCATACAACATTTATTCAATCTCACGTCACATTTGCATTTGATCCATTTGGGATTTTCCTCTTCCAACTTATTGTTTCATTTCTGAAAAATTAAATTACGTGTCTATTTTCCAGGCCAGGTATGAGATCCTACAAGGGGAGAAACCTGAGGGTTCTTCCAAGAAAGTGTCTGAACTTAATGTCAAAATGGAAGACGTGTACGGTGATAAAGATCTGGATGCAGCATTGGATTCCTTTGACAATCTCTTTTGTCGCCGATGTTTGGTACGTTTTCTGTTAATTGTCATGTGTGTTTTACATAATATCTCTGGTTTACTGATGAAACATTCTGCTCATTTTGATGTTGGAAGGTTTTTGATTGCAAGCTACATGGGTGTTCTCAAGATTTAGTATTTCCGGTAATTTTCAAACCAATGAGTTATTTCCTAAACTTGTGTGTTGTTCTAATTAGTGTCCTTTTCGTATAGACTGAAAAGCAGGCACCATTGTGCAGCTCGGATGAGGGTACACCATGTGGTATTCACTGTTACAAACTGGTCTGTATTTTATAGGCATATGACTGTGGAAAAGCAGCTCTTCTTTTATGATGATTTAGATATCCGAAACATAAGCATATGCCGTTTTGCTGATCTTTACCTCATTTATAATCTTTTTGTCAGGTCTCTAAACCAGATGCTATCATGGAGATTGATTCTCATTTGCTTGTTGATGTTGAGGAGCCAACATCGGACAATCTAAAGGATCAGATAGGGTCAAATAAGAAAAAGCTTGGTTCTAGTGGGCAGAAAACAAAATCTCAACAAAGTGAAAGTTCTTCAACTGCAAGGGTTTCCTCAGAAAGCAGTGAGTCTGAAGTACAACTGTTAAGCAATAAATCCCCGCAACACTCTCCTGGCCTCTCAAAAAATAAGCTTGGCGCAAAAGGTGGAATCAAGAAAAGTACTAACAGAAGAATTGCTGAGAGAATTCTAATGAGTGTGAAAAAGGGGCAACAGGAAATGTCACCGGACTCTAATTCTATTGTTAATGGATGCCATTGGCCTAGGGATATGAAGCTTAGATCTGATACTAGGAGTGGAATTAAGGATTCTGTTGTATCCTCACAGTGTAATTCTCCAAGCACAAGGAGTTTTAGAAAGAAGGGCACACTTCAAATGGAGAATAACTCATCTTTTGTGGATGCTCAGAGTGATTCAATGGAGGATACAAATAATGAACATTCAGCAACAGATGGTTGTGATAGTTCAAGGAAAGAGGAATGTGTTGATGAGAGTATATGCAGGCAAGAAGCTCATGGCAGGTCCTGGAAAGTGATTGAGCAAGGGCTTCTATTGAAAGGATTAGAGATTTTTGGAAAGAACAGGTTGGTCCCTTGAAATGATCAGCTTCATATGAATTATTTCACTACCTTCTACTTCATCTTAATATTTGTATACTATTGCACAACTAACTGCTGTATCTGTTCAGGACAGAGTAAACGTTAATGTGTCTAATCCCTCCGTCCCAAAATATAAGGCGTGCTTTGACTTTTAATTGTCAATTTCTCACAAGTATACTGTCTATACTCTATAGTGGAACCAACATCATATGAAAGTACATTCAAATATGAATCTGACAATACCATTTTTATATCACTAAACCTATATATTGTCAGACTAGTTGTGAGTCAAGATTTGTAAAATTTGAATTTTAAAATGCGTGCACACCTTATATTTTGGGGTGGAGGGATTAACCTTTCAGTTCAGCACAAGAAACTGACTATGCTTTCTTTTAATATATCTGTATTACTAAAAGTATTCAACACAAATGTCTATATTTAAAGCAAATGCTCTTGCATCATAATTAGACATCCCCGAAACTATATTCTTATACTACTACATTTCAAGTAAAAGCTGTAACATGAAGATACAATCTACAATTTGTCATGCATAACGTATTGGAATGCGGAATTAACTGGAATTTCTAATGTTTGCATCATTTAGTATCTAGTTGTGTTAGTTATAGCGTTTCATGTACAAGAAATTCTGATGTATGTTCATTTCAAATGCCTTAAAAACTCATTCCTGTTTTCTTTGGATGTCTTGCAAGCATATTGGAAATGTTCTTTATCCTTTCTATAATGAGTAGAATACCTTGTTTTCCCTAATTTGAATAGTCATACTGAGCCCTTGTTTTTCCTATGTTGAAGTTGTTTAATTGCTCGGAACCTTCTGGGTGGGATGAAAACATGCACAGATGTTTTTCAGTATATGAATTACATTGAAAACAGCAGTGCATCTGGAGCTCTTAGTGGTGTTGATTCTCTTGTTAAAGGATATATGAAGGTAGGATTCATCATAAAGCTCATTTACTTGTATTTTCCCAAGGTTTCATCTTACTTTAATGCTTGAACTCCCAGGGTAATGAATTACGGACAAGATCAAGATTTGTGAGAAGGCGAGGAAGGGTCCGCCGTTTGAAGTACACCTGGAAAACTGCAGGCTACCATTTTATAAGGAAAAGGATTACAGAAAGGAAGGATCAGCCTTGTCGACAATACACTCCTTGTGGTTGCCAGTCTGCATGTGGGAAGCAATGTCCATGTCTCACAAATGGTACCTGCTGTGAGAAATACTGTGGGTGAGCTACTTCAATTATTCATATTGCAGACTCCGAGAACATTTTTTCTTCTAGATATTAATAATGTTGCTTATGAAAACAAAACTGTGTAGATGTATACAATTTCAATATTGTTTGGTTAGTGCCGACCAATTATGTCGTATGATCACATCTTAGTTTTGCAATCATTGCTGCTTACTGAAAAGGAAAGGAAAATAAAACCTAGGAGGAACTAGGCACCCTTTCAATTAAGAGGAAAACAGGCACCAAATTTCTAGTTGAAGAGGACTTGAACCTTGATGGTGGGAGAGTGAGGGTGTAAACTCCGCATTTCTCACCCAAATGGTGAATCAAACACATGCTTCTCTTTTGTTCTGTGTGCTCTTTTGGCTATTAGCTATTACTTATTTTGATAATTTATAATTTTAATTGGAATAAATGATGCAAACACATGGAGTGCAAATGTTTGCTGTCCGCATCCTGCTGATGCAAGTTGAAGTAATCCTTTCTGCGTTGCAGGTGCCCGAAAATGTGCAAGAATCGCTTCCGAGGTTGCCATTGCGCAAAGAGTCAGTGTCGCAGCCGGCAGTGTCCATGCTTTGCTGCTGACAGGGAATGTGATCCTGATGTGTGTAGAAACTGCTGGGTAGGGTATGTATTTTAAATTCTGATGACCCTTTGAATGATTTTGCTAGTTAATGCACATTTGTATATCTTAGAGAAAGGCACCAACTATAATGTGCTTTTCATTCTTTGCACTTCTCCAACCTTACATCTACCTTGAAAGTTGAGAAATTACCACCTATGCCTGCACTTGAAGGATGGAATTTTGATGGATGATGGATTTATCCTTAAGTGCAGGAAGAATCTTGCATATGTATATTCCAGTATCTGAAGATACGGAGTTCTGCAGTAAAATATCTTAATGGTAGAATTGAATTTAATTAATATAATCATATCAATTGCTTGCCCAACAGTCCCAATAGGCAATAGCTACATTCCACAATTAAAAAAATGGTGCAATAATAATAATTTGACATTTCCTTCTCATACCATTTGCTAGCATACTTGATAGTGTGTGCCAGCACATTGACAATTGATATTCTATATCTAAATTATTTATAACAATATCTGAGTTTTATAGGAGTGTTTACCAGGAGTTAATCCATGAAAAATGTATCAATGATGGGGGAGTTTAATTTGAATTTGTTATGAACGAGCTTCTAATGGTAGGAAATGAAATTTTAGATACTGTAAGTTGTTAGGCAAACACCAAAGATGAGTATATTATCCGGCCAGTGTGTAAATCCAATCATGATCCTTTTTCACTCCATGGAACCTTAAATATGCTTTCTGTTATTCATTGTTGAAATAGTCTGTTATTCAATTTCAATTACTGTTTCTTCATCCCTAATTTTTCTAGAACAAAGCGCCAGTACATTGAACTTCTATTTTTCTACCTGTACTTTCTATTGTGCAGGTGCGGTGATGGTACATTGGGAGTCCCTAACCAAAGAGGTGATAATTATGAATGCCGGAACATGAAACTGCTGCTTAAACAGCAACAAAGGGTAAACCTTTTGCACTTTGATTTATTCATGCTATTGCACCTTGGTTATAATTTCGTCAAGCCTATCGATTTTTTATGCCTGCTTGGCCCTTCCATTTGCCTTTATTCGATGCTTTGATATTTTTGTGTGAGGAGGCTTGAGGTCTAAGTTAATTACCCAGCAGTACTTCTCAATAGTTTTATTCTTTTTTTTTAATATTTTTCACGTGAGTTCAAATTCCAGTTGTCTAAATACAAAAGATCTTAAGTTTAATACCAAAGAAACTAGTTAGAGTAACTATATTCCAAAACAGGCAATGAACTATGAACCAAAAAACTTCCCATTAGCAGGAAAATAATTGCATAAAGTATCTATCGATTATGTTGGTGAATTTATGAAACACCAGGGGGTGTTACTTCATTTTCTATTACAGGTCCTATTCCATCTCTAAATATCTGTAAATAGTATTGACTTGCTATGTGCACTCTTCAGGTCTTACTTGGGAGATCTGATGTTTCTGGCTGGGGAGCTTTCCTCAAGGTAAGATTTCTCTATTGACCCTTTTCCTCCCTCATAGGACGTACCCTCATCTAACTAGTCCTTTTCCTAAATCTTCAGAATAGTGTTGGGAAGCACGAGTATCTTGGCGAGTACACTGGGGAGCTTATCTCCCATAAAGAAGCTGACAAGCGTGGAAAGATATATGACCGTGAGAATTCATCGTTCCTTTTCAACTTGAACAATGAGGTGAGTGCAAAGACACCCCGCAAATTACGGTCTGCAAGCATTCAGGATTGCATACTGTACTGATTTGACTAGCCTAATGTCATCCTTTTGCGTGAACCGAGTTGTTTACATCCCCAACCCACTGTTGTTCAATATCGCGCGATTTATGATCCGCTGCAGTGTTTTCGCTGTTTTCGCCAGTACCGGATGCTCACTCACTCACTTTACCCTCTCGATGAATGCAGTACGTTCTTGATGCCTACAGAATGGGCGACAAGCTGAAGTTCGCCAACCATTCCCCTGATCCAAACTGCTACGCCAAGGTCATCATGGTAGCAGGCGATCACAGGGTGGGGATCTTCGCCAAAGAGCGGATCAGCGCGGGCGAGGAGCTGTTCTACGACTACCGCTACGAGCCCGACCGGGCCCCGGCGTGGGCTCGCAAGCCCGAGGGGCCCGGTGCCAAGGACGACGCCCAGCCTTCCACCGGGAGAGCAAAGAAGCTCGCCCACTGAAGAAGAAGAAGAAGAAGAAGATCAGCCGTTGATTCTTTTGTTGTCTTGGTTGATTCTTTCGTTATTGGTGAGGGGGACCGAGAACTCTGACGGTGATTAGCGCCGTAAGGAAAACTTTCCTGCCATTCGTTGGCCCCCTCGATTCGATTCGTTGATTTTCCCTGAATTCTGTAACTGCTGCACCTGTCGCCAGTTCAACTTCAAAAGATTTTTCTGATTCTGGATCAGTTGTTGTGTTCTTATGTGTTACTTTTCGAAAATACAATCACCATCTAAAATGCATGCATGACACTGTTGACTTTTCGGATAACTTTGGCCCATTCATCTTATATAAATATATAAAAGTATAAATAGTTTTTTATTGATAAAACAAATCATAACAAAATAAATGATATTTATATTTTTTAATAAAATAAATGATCAAATGTTTTGAATAAGGTTAACGGAGGAGATTACCGAGTTGTTTCCTTCGTGAAAAGTCGGCGAGAGCTGGAAGCCAGCGATGGCTGGGAATGGCGTGGTGGCGTTGTTGCCAAGGGCCCACATACCATACACCGTGCGAACGCCGCGGCAAAGCTTGATGCGAGGCTTGTTTATCTCGTCTAGCAGTAGCAGGCATGGGTAGGGTCAATGGGCTAATCTGCGTCCGGCCTATCCTGAGGCGTTGTTTCAAAAGATCTATACAACAAAACTAACACTCCGTTTTGTATTATAAAACGCTTTGATTTTTTTCAAACCTTTTTAAGTTTGATCTTTGTAAAAAATTAACATCTTAATATCAAATTAGTTTAATTAAATTTAACATTAAATAGATTTTGATAGTATGATTATTTTATGTTTAAAATATTATAATGTTTTTTATAAACTTTGTCAAACTTCACGAAGTGACTTAAATTAAAGTTAAATCGTCTTATAATATAAAATGGAAGGAATAAAGAGTATATTACATTTGTTGTACACAAATTTATTTAGGTGGGTATAATTCTATATATGAACTTATTATGAAACATTCGCTGTAATACACGAACTCGACATGGTCAGGGTGGCGAGGAGCTCCGAGTGATGGCAGATGGACTCTCCATAGATCGACCCCCTGTGATGGTGCGGGAAGGTGCAAGGGTGAGCAGCCACACCGTACGCCGGTGAAGGAGCTCCTTTTCCTCTTCCTCCTCCTCTTCTTCTTCCTCCTCCTCCTCCTCTCTCTGCCCTTCCCTTCTCGATGAACAAAGGAGCCGAAGTTGCAGCCTGTGAGTTATATCCCTCCTTCCCCGACCACTACTACTTTCTGTCCCTCCATCCCCAGCTCCCTCCCTCCCTCCGCTCCCTTGACATGGATTGGAGAAGGAGCAAGGTGCTCGCAGCGGACGCAGGGCTCAAGCTCCTCCACGTGCAACTAGCCTCGGTAGGTGAAACCTCTCTCACTTTATCGATGCTCAGCTCCTCCTTGCCCCCAACCCTTCTCACTACCGCTCAGTCGACGTTGACCGCCTCCTTTGCTTCCGAATAGACCACCTCTTCTGCCACCAACCTCCATCTTATTTAGATCTCATTGGCTTCGACATAGCCTAGGCAGAGCTCCTAGATGTCGAGGCAACAAAGCTCGGGGCTCGCGAGGAAGGCGGAGCTTGGTGGCAGTCTGACGAGATCCCATGGAGAGCGAACCCGTTGAGTTCTGGTGAGATCCGTTACCCTTGAAGCCTTATGGAGCTTTGCCTCTTGTTGGCGCCGTCCTTGAAGCCTTGCCAAGGCCTGCCTCTCACCAACACCGCCATTGAAGCCTCATCGAGCTCTCTTACCAACGCCGATCTAAAGCTTCACCTCTATCGGCTTCGGCTCAGCGACGGAGGCCACACCATGGGGAAGAGGGAAAGAGGGGACACAAAGCAGAAAGAAGATGTAAGTAGCAATGACAGGTGGACCCTCTCTCTTATGCAACCAATGTGGATCTATTGTATAGGTCAATAGGTGGCATCCACGTGTAGTACAATCACCGTAAAATAGCTCGAAGGTGGTAAATCATCTTATACTAATAGTTGGCGTATCATATCTGGTTTTATAATTTCTAAGTATATTTTAGACCACCATACGATTTCAAGAGAGTAAAATGGATAATCCCCCATAATAAATCTCACTAGTTGTGTGATATAGCGGCGTATGGACACTAACAAAACATTAATGCAGCCAAAGCAACCCCCCATCATATCTCTCTTGGCCCCCCATGATATATGAACAGAAGTTACAGAACAGTAGCAGTGGGGGTACACCCTATACCCTCCCTGGGGGACCTCTGAATACTTCGATCAGAGTAACGGTGCGGTGCCAAACTGATCAGATCACACACTTCAGACTACAGTCAAACAGAGCCCTTGCTTGCTTTGCTTGTGTCTTCAACTTCAGAGACCCCCTCCTACCCTCAAAAAATTTCCCCTTTCTTTTCCTCCGTTTCTTGCAGCGACAAGAGAAATACTAATACTCCTCCTCCTACTACTGCTACTGTGCAAGGGGAAGGACACGACGACGAATTGGAGAGCGGCGTCCTCTCTGATCCTTTTTTTTCCTTTATTGCATCTCTCTCTCTCTCTCGCCATTTTTCTTCTAGGTTGGTCTCTGGATCAGGCCATTGAGGGGGAAAGAAAAGGTGCGGGTTTTGGGGGGAGGTTGTTCTTGCGGGAGGCCGTTGATTTCGCCGTGTGATCGGAGGTGAGGTTCCCAGAAAAAAGGTTTACAATCCTTCTTGTGTTTTTCTAGCCTAGTAGTTCTTGGTTCTTGGATGCTAGTACGCGTGTCCGTCATCTTCTTGTTCTTTGTGTGCGCCTTCCGAGGATTTTTATTTTCCTTCCCTTTGTTATTTAATGGTGTCAGTGGATTAGGTTTATGTGTATCTGTGTTAGTCATCTCAGCTCAGCTCAGCTCAGCCTTGTTGCTTTCACTGACTGACTGTACTTACATTTGTTTAAGTGAGATTAGGTCGAATAAATTAGTAGGATTCCCTCAAAAGAACCATCTTTTGTGGAGTTAGGTGGATTTGGTGCTCATCCGTGCTACTTTCTCACCCTAGAAGCTTTTGTTCACCACCCAGATTTTGGTCTTCAGGGAGTGAAAAGGAGATGAATGAGAAGGACGCCACTGATTTGGAGGAGAGGAGTGAGGCCAGTGAGCACGGCCAAGCTCTGAGTTTCCATGGTGGTGCCATGTTCTTGCAAGAGGCTCAGATTGCTTCTCCTGCAGCTGCAAATAATGCATTGACCTCCATGGCGAATCCTTTCCCTATCCCTCCTGGGTTGTGGAATCCACCTTCACACAACATGGGTTTAGGCGAAACCAGTTTTTCATCCTTGTTGGGGATGCTGTCGGCCGGCGCGCCGCCACCGTTTGTGGCTACTCCCGGGTTTGTAGATTCCACGGCGGGGTTTCCTTGCTACAATGGAGGCAATCTTGGAGCCATGATCAATCACCCTTTCCCTGGTATCCACCAGCCTTTGGGTGATTTCCAAAACGGCGTCGAGCCATGTAGGGAGATTGAGGATATTGAGATTGAAGGATCCAAGAATGTGTCACAAACTGGTGAGAAGCAGCAAGGGGATGGTGAGACAACGCATGCCGTCGATTCCTCCTCCAAGGAGCTAAGCATGCCAGGGCGCAATGGTGGCGCTGGCCATGATGAGGGGACTAGGGTGTCTTGTTCCAAGAAGAGGAAAAGATCAGGACAGGTATTTGCTTGATGTACACATATTTACAGAGCTGAATCTCCGCATATTTAGGTGGAGCTAAGAATATGAAATTTTCTTGATTCTTGAAGGATGGTGGGGTGAAGCATGCAGAAGGTGGTGAGCAATTAGCAACTGTCGGTTCAGCGCAGAAGAATGAGGATGATGAAAAGGGTGAACCAAAGAGGTCTTCTGTGGCGTCCGGGAAATCCAGTGGGAAGCAAATAAAGGATAATGCAGGTTCACCAAAGGAAGACTATATACATGTAAGAGCACGGCGCGGTCAGGCTACAAACAGCCATAGTCTTGCCGAAAGGGTAGGTCCTTTTTTTCTTCTCTCTAATGATCTCTTCATAAAATGGTGTATCTAGCCATCTGGTTTGACTGTTATTGTTCGGGATGCAGGTTAGGAGGGAGAAGATCAGTGAAAGGATGAAATATCTTCAGGATCTTGTTCCTGGTTGTAGTAAAGTAAGTGCTTCCTAACTGTCCCCTGCCTCCATACTGAATGACTGTTAATCTGTTATGACATCAATTGTGAAATGTAATCTAGGTAACTGGTAAGGCTGTTATGCTGGATGAGATAATTAACTATGTTCAATCATTACAGAGGCAGGTTGAGGTATGATGTTTGTAAAACTTGTAGGGCCATTTTCAGTTTTACTTGCATAGTCCTGCTGCGATGTAATCTGGTATACCCAATGTGTGCATGTTGGGCAGTTTTTGTCGATGAAGCTAGCAAGTGTCAATCCAACACTGGACTTCAACATAGAACGCATTTTATCTAAAGATGTAAGATAGTTCTCACCTGGTCTTTATAGATTTTGACCCTTTAGATTTGTCTTTCTCATGATGATTGTTTCATCCACACAGATTTTTCAATGTCGAGGCACTACTGCATCATCTGCCTTTGGCTTCTTCCCAGACATTGTTCATCCCCGATTACACCCACCAAAATATACACAAGTTGGGATGCCCAGCATTGTGAACCCCACTGATGCATTTGGAAGAGTAATCCATGCTCCATTAGGAACTAACAGTGCATTCAAAGAACCTAAACATCAGGTTTGTACCATCACTTGCATTTGGCTAAATGGCCATTTTCATTTCATGCTCTTTATACCAAATACTGTGTTCATGAAAAATAGGACAAGTTTCTGCAAGATGTTCCAAGACCTAATTTAGTGTTATATGGCTTGGTGTTTCGAGAATACTGCTCCACAGATAGTCGTTGAAAAGAATGTCCACATAATATTTTAAACCAAGAAAAGCTAGTCCCCTTTATATCCTTTTGCTGGGTCTTGCTTCACTACCCATCTTTCCAAAAAGTTCGTGGGTCTTAAAAGCAAAGCAAACTAGATAACATAACTAAACTGAGACATTTTAGACAACAAACAAAATTCCTACTATCTGTTTTTCATAACTAGCCAGATTGTGCCTGATTCTTTTGGCCATGCAAGCTGTTTGAACCTAGTCCATCAATCAGTCTCTTTAGCTTCTGACTCATTAACCCTCTTCAACCTGATTTTAGTGGGAAGAGCATTGTTGATGTTAACCGACATTGTAACCTCAGTAGCACTAACCATTTCACTAGTAAACCAACTAAAAATGTACAAATGCAGCTTGTTATATATCTAATTGTATCTTCATCACTACATATTTGCCTTCACAGTTATCTAAAACATATGCTTTCATATTCATAAACATTTTTTTGGAAAGCGGAGTACCAAAGCACTGTTTTAGTATTTTGCAATCCTCTTATTACTTGTGCATTGGACAGATGCCCAACAATTTGAATGGAGAGTTCCAGGACGTCATTGAGATGCCTTTTACTCATGACCATCATGGATCAAATGATCAACCCTGAGATTGATTCCACAACTGAAGCAAGAGATCAATATGTGCCATGGGCTTTCAGCAAAACTGTGATATATGAGCATGTTGATATCATGGTACTAGCTCACAGCTGATCACTGAAGTATAAGCATCCAAAATGCTTAGTTAGTGCTATTTTTCTCATGTTCATAGCAGCAATTGACCTCCTGTGGAAGCCTCTCTTTGGATGTTCCATTTGCTGTTATAGAAAGTTGGGAGATAAAAAAAAAAGGATGTTCACATGGAGATCTCAAGCAATTTGTTCTCCACTGAAGTAGTCTACAGTCTTGAAATGGCGAGAAGCTTCATTTTGCAAGAAGGTGATTTTTCTGTGGTCTCGTCAACCCCAGGATTATTACATACACTAGCTAGCATTGTGAGGCTACAGAAATTGTTCTTTGTTGTACTTGCTTAGCCCATGTTCCATCTGACAAGCAACATAGGCAGAAATGCAGTCACTGATTTTGTATTTGTTGAAAAAAAAAATAAATGGGCTTGGCCTGATGTAGCAAGCATTTGAATTTTGCAACGGGTGCATATTGGCACAGATGTTTTTATTCCAGCAAAGCTGTGAATTCTGAAAGAGAAGAAAAGAGAACTGTGATCTAGTGTTACTGGTGACCTTGTGTCCTTGTTAAGACATAATTCACTACACACTGGTATTGGTGACCTTGTGAAGCGATAATCATCTGATCTGAAGCTGATGGTCATGGCAAAAGCAGCCAAGGAAATTAATCTCATGAAACTCTTGCTCATTGTTTCACTGAATCTGATAAAACATGACATGGCACGTTTCTGAAGCAATCTGAGGTCTGAACACTACATTTTTGCTGCATCTATATGCAAATATTTCTTTCTCCAAGCAAAAACACCAATCCACAAAAGACAATTTCTGAAACAAATTATACATACATGAAGAAAAAGAAACTACTACCTATGTCAAAGAGCATATAATCTTCCCCTGCTATAACAACATGTACTAGCTACATTGCATCTGCAGTGTTCTTTCTTTTCTTCTTCTCTTTTCCCTGTGAACTTGTTCAGTATAGTTACAAGACCAAACCAAATACACCAAGCCCATATGATGTAGTTCTAGTAGTTACAGCCAAGAACATGGCAAGAAACTATGGAGATGAAGATGAAGATGATATGCTACAACTCGACGGAGACGTAGGTGGCGGAGTAGTCCGGCATCCGGTGCAGGCTCCGGAGCACGCTCTCGGCGACCTGCTTCGTCGCGGCGTCGCCCTTGTGGAACGCGCTCACCAGCGCGCTCGGCAGCGCGCGGTCCGCCGTCACGTCGCGCACGCACCGCTCGCCGCCGTGCGCCAGGAACCTCTCCACGGCCCAGAAGCAGCGCCGCGACACCGCGCCGGCGGTGTCGCCGCCGACGTCACGGTGCTGCCGCAGCGCGCGCAGGACGTGCCGCGCGGCGTCGTGCTCGGCGAGCACGGCCACGCCGCGTTCCACGTCGACGGCGTCGTCCATGAGCGTGCAGAGCGCGCCCAGCACGGCGTCGACCACGCGGCCGTTCTCGTTGCTCTCGAGGACGCCGACGAGGGCCTCCACCGCGCCGGCCTCCGCCAGGCAGAACGTGGTGGCCGGGGAGCACACGCCGCGGTGCACCGGGCAGAGGCGTCCCTGCGCCGGCGGCGGTGGCGGCTTCCGGTTGTTGTCGTGCACCCGCCCGGTGTGCGCGTCGCGCAGGCGCCGGAGGATGTTCTTCTTCTTGGGGCGCCGTTGCTCCTCTGATGGCGGCTGCGAGAGGTTCACCGACTGGTGGCTAAGGTTCTCGAGGCCGACCGCCGCGAGCCGCTGCACCTCGTCGCTGCCCGCTGACCGCACGAGCAGATCGGTGAGCACCGCCGTGAAGTTGTGATCCATGGCCGCCAGGAGCACGTCGGGGTCGTACAGCGTCATCGTCATCCGGACGAGCGCGCCGACGAGGCCCTCCATGTACGTCTTGGCATGGCGGCTCACTCGCATTTCGCCGCGCTGCATCTCCTCTATCTTGGCCAGCAACGTCGGCACTGCTCCCTGCTCCAGCAGCGCCAGGTTGAGCGTGATGTTCTGGTACGGCAGCCTCGCCAGCAGCGTCGCCGCCACGGCGTGCCGTTCGGTGACACGCCCGGGCTGGCCGATGCTCTTCACCAGCCTTCCCGGCTGCCCTGGCGCCTTGCAGAGCTTCTCGGCAATGGTGTGCCCCATCTGAGGAGACAATGCAATGAGCAGCCTCGTCGCGCTGATGCCTAACGCCTCCGTCTTCGAGCCCATGAACTCGATCACGGTCAGGCTGCTGTCCTGCTCCTTCATGACGGACACCACCGTCATGAGCGGCTTTGGGAGCGCAGTGAGCGCGAGCAGCACACGTATGATGCTCAGGTTGAGATCATCAGGCATGGAGCACTTGAGCATGTGGGTGAAGTTGTACACCGAATACTTTGAAGTGATGACATGGCCTTCCTTGTTGACGACGATGGTGTCGGGATCGAGACCGGACTCGACGATGTTGGCGAGCACTGCAGCAGCCTCTGTCTTGGACCCCATAGGCTCGTCGTCGATCTTGCGGATGAAGAGCTCCTCCACCATGACCGGAACAGCACCGGCGTCGACGAGAGTCTTGCTGTTGGGGCCATCTGAGGAGATCTGGACAAGGACATCAAGGGCCGCCTTGCGGATCACAGTGTTGCCGCTATGCACCATCTTGATGAGGATCTCTGAAGCACTCCCAGCAATGTTGATGGTCATTTCCTGCTTCTGGACCAGCTCGCCGAGGTAGCTCACCATCTCCATTTGAACATCTTCAGACCCTGTTTTATATGGTGTTTCATGTCAGGTAATGGACTAATGGTAGTGTCATGGTGTTAAGTTCACGCTAGCGAATTTCATATTAGTCATCAGAGCAATATTACTATATCTAGTTATAACTGCTTGTTCTTTGTTAATGTTCACCCTGTACTGAAGTACATGTATTCAGAAATTGATTGATCTAATGTTAAGCACACTATTTACACAAATAAATAAGTTCTCTATTAATAGTCCACGATGTTGACTTTTGGCAATATAAACTTCCTTATTTGATATTATATATGATAATTAACACATCAAAGAAAGTCGTGTATCTTTCTGCATAGGCAAAATTTTTACCTTCCACTAAATGTCTTTGGAGAGGATCCAGGTAACCACTTTCAGCCATGTACTTAATGTTCTTTGGGCAGTTCTCCAGGTTCTTGAGAACCTCCCCAGCCTTCTCTGCAGCAACCGGATCATCTGAATCATTGAATTTCATTGTGGTAAGCATCAATATGCTTCCAGAAGTTGATCCGATGTTTTCCAACAATAGCTCCGATTTCGAAAGCTCTAGCAAGAAAGAGATGGCTGCATGTCTTTCATCAGGACTATTACTAGAAAGCAGCTTTATTGTTCTTGTAATGGCTCTGGTATTTGCTATGACTTCCTGTACGTCATGAAGGCATGAAGAAGAATTTCAGTTTTGAACAAACACGCAGGGTAATTGTTTCAGCATTTAAATAAGTTTCACACAACCAGGCCAGCGAAAACATTGAACATGATAAGGGTCAAAACGTTTCAGGCTTCCTTACCTTTCCTGTTTCATCCTCAGCCAATAAGCAAAGGAGATCCAGCGAATCACAGCGTATCAGACCATCCTTGTGCTCCAACAAACGAGGGAGGAACTTAGTTATCCCGATTTTGTGCATCTGTTCCCTGTTCTTTCTCCTTATCTTGGCCAGCAGCTTCAGCTCTTGTATGGCCTCAAGCAACATTGCCTCTGTGGAAGCCATGGAGAGCGCGGTTCGTGCAATCCTGACCCTTGTGGCTTCATTTCTCATAATCCATTCTGCAATTGTGCTCTTCAGTGGAACATTGCTCCTCAGTGCCTTGCTTTGCATCGACATCTTTGTCACAGGGCATACCACAGGTTCAGAACCATCAGCAAATTTCTCAAAGTACTCCTCAATGGCTTTCCTATCATATGTCACACCACTTTCTGTTGTCACTGGATCAACCATGACCTTGTTTGTCAATGGACAGAAGAACGAATCATATAATGGCTCGACATATTCTGCAACTTCAGGGAGCGAATTGAATGAATGTGCACCGATATCATGTGATTCATGGTACATTCCCTGCAGGAAGTCCACCAGCCTTGGCATGTCACTATTGTGCAATGTTCTTCTCCGGGGCCTGCTGTTTGCCGGGATTATCGACATATCGGCCTCAGAGTAACCATCGCAGGAATTCTGGTCACAATAACGCGGCCGATGTCCTGCAATCTGAAGGTTTGCATCTGCTCTGCCATCTGGAAACCTGCTGCTACCAAATGTTGAAGCAGGTATCCTGCTGAGCTCATGCCCAATGTTCTTTATGACACTGTCAAGGTCCTCGGTCATGCCCAGGAGGTCATCGTTCTTGAGCTCCCGCGCAACGGCGCTGCACCTCATGACGAGGTCCTTGGCGAGGTCGACATTGGCAGCCAGATACTCCATGACGTGCATCACATTAACCGTCGAATTCTGCACTCTCTGCAGCTCCATCGTGACCAGGGGTGCATGGTAGAGGTGGCTGCCTACATCCATGAAGTTCTCATGCTCGGCATCGGCTGCCGCCTCTGGCGGCATGAGCTCAGAGATCGCGGCCTCTATGGACTCAACGAGTGACGCCTTCCTCGCCTGCGCTCCGCTTCGCTGAACAAGAGTACATGTCAATCAGGCACCCAAGCAAAAGCATCCAAAAACACAGATAACACACAGACTGTTCTGTTGTGATGACAACTACAGTCCAAAATTCATACAGTCCAATTATAAAGCAATAATACAGGCTCCCTTGGCTGCAATCAATCTGAGGTTGACCCAAGGGGTTGAGTTCTACACAAGCAAATTGACTTCCCCCAATTCCAAATTTTTAACAGTTTGTTCCAAGAACTACTAGCATCTTATCTACTGTACAGTGAAAAAATCACCAGGAAAATTGAATAGAGGACACAAATAACACAAGGGGGGGGGGGGGAGTACATCAAGAACAGCTTGATGCACATTCTACCTGGAAATCAACATCGTTTCTCCGTTCCATCTAACCAAAGTGGCAAAACGTACTACCACCACCATAAATTTGCTCACTTCAAGCAGGGTTCGCCATCTCTAGCGCAAAGACCCCCCATGAATCCATGATTCCTCGCCTTACCAAATCACGAAATACAAACAGAAATGGCACAAGAACCGAGGAATTTGCGAATCACAGCCTCACTACCCACCTTTACAAAAAAAAAATCCATGAAATCTACCGAAATTTATGGCAGCACTACGAATTAGCAGCAAGCGAACAAGCCAGCTTCGTCCCCCCAAAAGAGAGATGCAGCAAACAGCAAGCTCAACTCCCCCACGCTTACCTGCATCCAAGAACTCCAAGAACTTGACCGCGCCGCTGCTTCTCCTCCTCACCTTCCGCTCCAAGCTCCTCCTCCTCCTCCCGAGACTGAGAGGACGGAGACGCTACGACTGGGGTAGCATTCTCCCCTCCTCCACCACCGCCCCCGCCATGGCCTCCCCACTCCTCAAACTTACAGCGCCACCACCACCCCACCACCGCTCGAGCCGAGGAATAATACCACCTCGCTCGCGTAGGGAGGAAGAGACGAGAACAAAAGAGGGAGAGAGGGAGAGGGAAAAAAAATACGGAGGAATTACGGAAGAACGCGCAGTGGCAGCGCAGCACGGAGACTCAGTCAAGTGAAGGTCAGTTTGTTAATCGTTATAAGCAACCTCTCCCTAATCTTTTTTTGTTTTTTTTTTCTTGAAAAATGTAAACCTCCTGTTTTAGACTTTAGAGATCGGTAATAAAGCGACGTTTTCTTTTTGGATGGATAAACCGATAAAGCGACCTTTCTTTTAACAACCACCTTTCTAATGGCGTTTTACCTTGGGAGATGTTGACTTTTTCTTTTTCTTTTTTTTCTTTTTTGTTTTTACAGTGATGGTGCTTAGCTTAGCTGCAGGAGTCAAGACTTGCAGTGCACACCAATGTATGTGTCAAACCACAGACTAGGCGTTTAAATTTTTTTAAACTTGGCCCAAAGATTGTTTTTTACGGCAAGCTTAAGCAGATGTTTTGTTTAAAGAAGGTGGTTAGCTATGTGCCAACTGTCATAAATTTTTTTAAAGTATAAACTGATGGTTTCTTCCCTATTTCCAAACAGTTTCTAGCTGGTATGCAATATTCGGTCAAAATTCGGCTGAGTTTGGTTAGACTGGAGGATGTAAAATATATTTTTGGTTGCTGTATTAGATTTTGAGCCTGGGCTACTGTTTAGGGTTAGGGGACTCCCATGCGAAGGTTAGGCTGAGTGTTTGGGAGGCCTCTCTCCCACACGCAAAACAGTGTATGCATTAACTACTTTCTCCATCTACTTTTGATACTTATATTTTATCTTGGCACACAGACCAACGATAAGTAATTATACTTATCATCCATTTAAACATGCTAGTCATTCCTCGTAAACAAGCGATTCATTAATATTTACATTTCTCGATGCCCATATAGCCAATCTTGTGTGGAAGAATGGAGAGTCACGTATTAAATCCGAGAAAGATATTAAGAGGATAGGTTGTTGGATTGAAATATGCCTATCAAAAATAAATTTTTCAGATTTGGAAATATGACTATCAAAAGTATATGGAGGGAGTAATTAATTAAATATTATTTATTTTGTAAAAAAATAGGACTAATATGATTGTTTAAAATAATTTTTGTATATTTTTTTAAAAAATACACTGTTTAGCAGCTTGAAAAGCGTGCGTAGAAAATTAGATAAATGAGTTGAAAAGGTGGAGAAAAGAGCTCAGCCTTACAAGATATTTCTGGTAGAAGATTTTGTTTGATTAATTGGTTATATAAATTTTGAGTTTATTTATCTCTTTATTTGAATGGTGCGGTTACTCCTACACCTCCAATAGATATAAATATATATATCCACAACACTCGAAATATAATGTGAGATAGTGTGGTCTATTTGCACTGAACAAGTACTCCTTCCAGTCACAAATGTATGAGACAGTGTGGATCATGATATGGTTACCAATATACGGAGTAGTATTTTATAAGAGCTACTATGGGAAAGTTATAATATTTTGAAACTATTTTTAAGATAAATCTAACCATATCACTTTCAAAAGTTAGATCGAAATATTTAAAGAGAATAATGATTCAAATTTAACCATGTTTACCGCACACATTCCAAATCGTCACTTATTTGTGACCGGAGGGGGAAAGCCTAAATATCACAAGGTCACCCTCATCATTTCCATCGCCCTTCGTTGCAATCACCATTGAGCTGGTCAATGCGTTCTTACCACGAGTCCAAGGGTAGGGGTGGGCATTCAGAATAACCGAGAAATTCGGTTCAGTTCCTCAATCTTTTGGAAAATTCGGTCTTCAGAATCACAATACCGATCGGTTTTCATGAAAACTCAAGAACGAGCACTTTGGTCTTCGGTTAGTTCGGTTCGTTCTCGGTCATAGACCGAACTAACTATAACAAAAGTTTTAAAAGCAAAAAAAAATAAATACTCCATACAAGATCAATGAATCAAAGCAACTCGCATGAAAAAGTACATGATGCCACTAGAAAATAGAGCACGATTCAGAAAAAAAAAGGAAGAATATCAAAGCAAATCGATATTGCCATGACTTGGATCCTGTCGCTTTCATCCCCGACCGGCCTCCATCATCGAGGTCTCCGGCACAGCCTCTTTCGCCATCGTGGTGCGGATAGCCATGAGCGTCAGGTTACAGCAGGGTCGCCGGAAGGAGCACGATCTCTTCCGCCACACCAGGCGAAAGGGCGGCTCGGCGCAATGAAGGTCGTCGCTAGTGGCGCCGTTGCATCGTGAGGAGGCGGAGGGCGGAGGCGGTGCCGACACGGTGGAGCCTGGAAGCGGCGAGATGGAGACGGAGGCTGAGCGCGAATGCACGATGGATGGATGCGGCGCTGAAGATGAGATAAGGATGCGGGAGATAGGGTGGCTAATTTACAGGGTTTAGCGTTTTACTGGGCTTATTGGTCCTCCTAGATCTATTGGGCCACAATTCGGTTTTCTCGATTAAATTTGGTCTTTTGATGGCTGGGACTGAACTACTAACTAAATTTCTCAGTCTTGGTCTTTTCAATTCGGTCTAATGCTGCCCGCCCCTACCCAAGGCAACTAAATCTTTTCAACGTCAAGCTTCTTACTGTTTAAGAAGTTACATACTTTCTCTGTCAAAGAAACAATTCTTGAATTGATTTGTTTTATTTTTAGGACAGATGGAGTACGCGTGAACTATATAGTTGTGTTTGCTACATACATTTTAAATCGTTATTTATTTGTGACCGTTATGGCTACTGATCGGTCGTAGGTCTTGCTTCTGTTGGGCCTAGAGTCGGTCAAGGTAATGCTGCAGGGGTGGTTGCATAAGACAGTTGGTTTGATGCAACTATGGGTATGTTTAGTTCCACGTCAAAATTGGAAATTTGATTGAAATTGGAACGATGTGATGGAAAAATTGAAAGTTTGTATGTGTAGAAAAGTTAGATGTGACATTTTAGGGTTCAAAGTTTGGAACTAAACCGGGCCTATATTTGGGAGAGAATTTTAAGAATCATATATGGGCTGTGTTTAGTTCATACTGAAGTTTGGAAGTTTGGATGAAATTGGAACGATGTGACTGAAAAGTTGTGTGTGTATGAAAGATTTGATGTGATGGAAAGTTGGAAGTTTGGAAAAAAAAACGTTGGAACTAAACGGGGCCATGGTCATAGTACCTACATGGTCTCTCAAAAAGTGGGAAATGATTGAATAACAAACGATTTATTGAAATTTTGTAACTCCATGCAGGAAATGGTCCACGTTTTCTTTGAAATTGAGAGCCGACACTTCCCTTTCTATGAAATTTATGCAAGATGTCATGCACCAAAACAGCATGATAACTGTTTGCACATTATTCATCATTAGCTCTACCCTTGGCCTGATCAAAATATGATGGAGGTTGAAGGAAAACATTATTCATCATTAGCTCTACCCTTGACCTGATCAAAATATGATGGAGGTTGAAGGAAAAGGCTAGCTACTACTACTAGAGATCGAGTAGAGACAAAATTATAGCAGTAGTATTTTTTGAGTTGTCACTCACCCTGATTGTTCATGAGTTCTTCAATATCACGTCTCGGTCTTTTAATTCTGCTCCATTTCCCTCATCATGAAGGCGTCTAGGCATTGATGGCCTCAGGCTGCTGCTAAATCACTTTGGGAAAAAAAAAAAGCCAGGTATGTTCCCTTCAAACTTCTAAAAATTCCATTACATTAAATATTTGGACACACGTGCATAGAGCATTAAATATGGATGAAAAAAATCAATTGCACAGTTTATATGTAAATTGCGAGACGAATCTTTTGTGTCTAATTACGCCATGATTTGACAATGTGATGCTACAGTAAACATTTGCTAATAACGGATTAATTAGGCTTAATAAATTCATCTCGCAGTTTACATACGGAATCTGTAATTTGTTTTGTTATTAGTCTATGTTTAACACTTCAAATATATGTCCGTATATTTAAAAAAAATTGGCATACGAAATAAACACGGCCACCATCAAGAACTGGTCCAGTGGAAGCTCATTAATAAGTTTTCTGATCTCGGTCTGAATTTTGTTAGGTGGTACTACTACTCCTAATTAAGAAAGCCAGTGATCAAGGGCACCTTGGTAGTACCAGTTTGTTAGGGCAACAAAATGTTGCTGAGATTTCTTTTGCATTGTGTTAGAATTCTACGCCATTAATTCTTAACTAACAGTACTTCATTAGCTGTACTTCTTGGTAGTGTTAGAAGTACAATACTAAGCATGTACCCTAGCTCTCCCGGTTAACGCAGAGCACGTTAAATATGATAGTATCAACTTGTTAATTATATCTATAGTGTCTCAATATATATATTTTTTGACTTGCAATAAAATAAATCAACACTTTTTGTATAATAGAAACATTCAGGCCTCTACATCCAGATGTGTACTTGAAAAATCCAAAAAAAAAAAACAATAGATTATTTGCATGCTATCATGATTCTTTAACACGTTATAAATTAAAGAATACTTCCTCTGTTCTTTTCTTGTATTGAACTAACCATCGTTATATATTAAAAGATAGAGATAGTATAATATATAAAGATTAACGCGTCTATTTTTATTTTAACTAGAATATGAGCAAATTACAAATAAAAATGACATATTCGCTCCTTACCATTACAAATGACTACTATGTTCTTTAAAAATATAACTACTGTTGACAGTTAGATTTGGTACAAATTTAGGGTGTGTTTAGTTCACGCTAAAATTAAAAGTTTAGTTGAAATTAGAACGATGGGATGAAAAAGTGAAGTTTGTGTGTGTAGGAAAGTTTTAATGTGATGAAAAAAATTGAAAGTTTGAAGAAAAATTTTAAAACTAAACTCTGCCTTAGAAAGGAGTCAGAGCCTTTTCGCAAAGGTCGGTCGGACAACAATTCATACCACGGTCTGACTGGATGCCTTGTGATTTTTTTTTGTGGGGATCTGACCAGTTGCCTACTGCAGTTGACCAAGGGTTTGTTTAGTTTCCAACTTTTTTCTTCAAATTTTTAATTTTTCCGTCACATCAAACTTTCCTATACACACAAACTCTCGATTTTTCTGTCACA